ATGAGTTCATTTTGTCATTTCTCTGTACAGACGTAGAGACGGCCAAGTAAACACACATGAAATGACAAAAGTACCAGAGAATGGTGATGTTATTTATAGCCTACTTGGAAACATTAAGTGATGTTTCCTAAGTAAGATGTGTTTCTTTCCTCTTAAGAAAGAGGCTGGCTGTTCTCTTGCAACTACAGCAGTTGTCAAACGGAGATTTTTCTTGAGAAGAGCTTTTTCTTTTCGTCTAGCTTTTCCTAGCTTTCAGACTAGCACTGTGAGCACGTGGGTTCTCTTTTATTTGATTTCTTCATTTCTATGCACATCAAATGTCTCCATTCATTCAGAAGCACATATTTGCATTTTTGGCACAGAAAGCTTATTTCCAAGTTCACTTTGTTTCCTGCCCCACACCTGGAAGCAGCCATTTCTCTTAAGAATCCTTGTTCCTTCTAATGCGTGAGTAGCGTTTGGAAACCAGGAGCTGAGAGCAAGGCTTTCTCATTGCTTTTGAAGTGCCATTGCTTTTAGACCTTTCAAAAACGTTTGGAAAGATAAATATAACTATGTATAGACATGAATGTGTTTATTTTTTAAATAATATTTTTTAATATAATAACTCTAGCTCAGATATTTTTTAATCGGGGAACTCCACCAACCACTGTCCACCGTGGGTAACCATTATTGTGAGTTACCTCTGTACAGCAAATGGACAGACAAGTGCTACACCACTTAGAAGAATATTTGACCAAAAAACAAACTTGGAAGCAGGAGTGGCATCCACTTCCAAAATGGCTTGCCTCCCAAAACCCTATGAACTTGAAAAAACGAAGAAAGTTATTCAAGTGTTCAGGTCTTTCATTCATACAGTCACTAAGAGTTGTCTACGACTTGACAGCACTTAACAACAGCTCAGATATAACAACAGAGGGTTTGGTCAGGCCTTCCTCCATCTCTGATTTTGATATTTAGCTACTGTCAAGTCCCTTCTGTAGAACTTGTTCCATTTTTTGCAGCCTTTCCAACAGGTTGGGTGGTTGTTAAGTTTCTCGATACTGCCAGCCTCAAACATAAAAAATCATGTCTGTCTTTGACTTCTCTTATCATGAGTGAACCCAGACATGATTTTGTTTGTTAAATTTTTTTCCCCAAAATCCATGGTATTTATTGCAAGTATTGTCTCTTAAATTGTCATTTCTCTGTTAATTTTTTAAAAAAAAATGTTTGATATTGTCCCTACACAGAAGGTCTTTCTATTTTTATTGCACACAGATGTTTGTCAAGGTTCACAAAACCTTTTTCAACACCTGTTTTTAAATGGATTCACTCATGTTTTCTTCTCATGTTTATGGTTTCTAGTTTTACATTGATTTATCCATTTGGACTTTTTAAGATTTAAAATATGAGGTATGGATCCAATGTAATCTTTACCTAGACAACTGGGTGACCCTTTAACTTTGGGTTTTGTTTGGGGACTTTTCCATTCTGTTCAGCAGGGTGCTCTGTGAAGATGAACATGTACTGGACGCTGTTTGCCAGCAGACGGCAGGGCTGCTGGGGTTGCCTGGCCCCAGGAAGCTCTCTGAAGGCTTACATTTTCTACAGGTGATCTTGTCCTCTCTCCCTGTGGTCCCAATGGAGGGGACTGATTGAAAGGGCATAAACTTCCTGACTTCTCAGCAAATTCCAGGCACCCACTTTTGCATGGCTTGTTTTGTTGTGATTCCTACTGAAGTATATTGTTGTTGTTGTTGATTGTCTTAGAATCAAGCTTGACTCATAGCAATCCTATGGACAAAAGGCCTGTAGGTCCTCTACAACTATCGACATTTATCAAAGATCATAGAGTTTCTGGAGGCATTTTTTAGGAAGTAGATGCCATTTCTGCTTCCAAACCTGCCATAGTAGGTTATTGTTTTTATATGCCATTGAGTCACCTGCAATGTATAGTGACCCTATGTATAGCAGCTCTGAACCCTTCCCTGTCCTGAGCCAGTCTCACTAATCCTGACACACCAACCCTCATCACCCCAGATACTCTATCAGCCCATCTCATCTGGGGACTTCCTCTCCTGTGCTGTCCATCCACCCTGTGCTTCCAAACATGATGTCCTTCTCCAAGGACCAATCTCTCCTGGCCACATGCCCAAAGTAAGTGAGGCGGAGCTTCAAAACCCTAGCTTCCAAGGAGAGACTTGGTTTTACCCTCTCCAAGACAGACATATTTGTTTTCTTGGCAGTCCATGGTATATGCTGAAGACTCTTCTCCAGATCCCCAACTCAAAGGCATCTATTCTTCTGTCATCTTTACATAGTAATACATTTAGTTTAGAAATTAAATACCATAAGCTTGGAAAGCAGTTAACATAATACCCACAGCAAAGCAAAGTGCTCTCACTACATACTAACTGATGGGTCTGAACAGCTGCTGCATTTGATCCTCGGTCAGTGAGAAGGCAGCACAGCTGATGCTCTGGCAGCAGCTGCAATGGGCCACATCCGGGCCGGACTGCCTGCCTCTGAACCAGGCAGCCATGACAGTGGGAAGGATCACAGACATCTGAACAGCGGTTCGGGTGCTGGTTGAGACTGCTAGACGGTGAGGTCTCGTGGAGCAGGAAGACCAGGAAAGAAGATGCTGCTTTTCTTTGTCTTCCAGACATCTGTCTCCCCAGCACCTTTTCAGGAGCTTCTGGGCTTTTTTCTGGTCACCAGGGAGCAGGGCAGTAGAAACCCATACATTCCCTGACTGTGTTCCCTGCTTGCCCCGCCTCTCCAAGGTGTTCTGTAGAGTGCATGTCACTTTTGTTGTCAATTCTAATTTAATACTTGCCCTATCCTAATCACTTGTAATCAGAGACAAACACTATTAATATTTTACTGTATTTCAGTCTTTTACTTTCCCCCCTACGTATGTGTTCTTAGACTTGAGATCATATTGTAAATATCAGATCTTAGTTTTCCTTTTACCCTTTGTGGCCATTATTTTGTCTTTGTTGTGCACCATCACGTACTGACCCATTGTTGTTTGTTTTCAGAGTGTTCACAGTGTGTTTTTAGAGGCAGTAAATTGCACC